CATCAAAATAAATTTTGATTCTATTTTTATCTTTTAGATAAATCATTAAAATAAATTTTGATTAAAATATAATTAATTAAATCATCAAAATAAATTTTGGATTCTATTTTTCTCTTTCAAATAAATTAAAACATAATAAAATAAATCATCAAAATAAATAAGTCTAACAGCAACCTTGTATATATATATAACTCCATTGCAGAATTGATAGAATTTGTAGAATAATATATTAGCCCCGTTTGGTAGAGCTGTGGAAAAGTGATTATAGATTAGAACTTAACAGATTATGGCTTATAACTATGAACATAAGCTGTGATCCTGTTTGATGCAGCTGTGAGATTATGGATTTAAGCAGCAAAGCAGCATTTGGTTAATAAGCTGTAAAATAACTTTTTACTGTGTAATTGTCCATTTTGCCCTTATATGATATAAAAATGATTATTTTGTCATTTTTTCAGTTTTAATTTTAAAAAAATTATTTCATTAATAAAAGTTAATATAATTAGTATTGCAAAAGTTAATATAATTAGCATCAATTAATACTAAAATTAATAATAGTATCAGTTAGTATAAATTTTTTCATTACAAATTAATTAGTGTCAATTAATGGCTTAATTACCATCAATTAATACTAAAATTAATAATAGTATCAATTAGTATAATTTTTTTTCATTTTTCCATTATGAATGAATTAGGTGTCAATTAATGGCTTAATTACCATCAATTAATACTAAAATTAATAATAGTATCAATTAGTATAATTTTTTTTCATTTTTCCATTATGAATGAATTAGGGGTCAATTAATGGCTTAATTACAATCAATTAATACTAAAATTAATAATAGTATCAATTAGTATAATTTTTTTCATTTTTTCATTACAAATGAATTAGGTGTTAATACTTATTAATATAAAAATACTGAAATTAATACTAAAAATACTAATAATACTAATAATACTGAAATTAATACTAAAATAATTAATACTAAAATCAACCAATTTTAATAATTAATACTAAAATTATTAATAATAATGGCTTAATTATTATTATTATTTTATTAAAAAAATACTGAAAGCCCCTAGAAAAAAAAAAAGTGAAAACCCTAGCTGCAGAGAGAGAGAGAGAGAAAGACAGATCTGATCGGCGACATAGCGAAGGTACAACGGCGACGTGGCGAAGGTACAGCGGCGACATGGCGATCGCGACATGGGGGACGACGATGAAGGTACAGAGGCGACGTGGGAGACGACGACAAAGGTACAACGGCGATGTGGCGATCGCGATCTGCCACAAACAATGCCGAAGAGACAGAGAACTGCAGCGATTGCGAAGAGAGAAAAAGAGAGATTTGCTGCGATCTGTCGAAAATCACCGCGAACCCGAGATCGACGACGAAAAACCCTAGGTACAACGCCATGGATGTAGCACAAAGAGAGAGAGAGAGAGAGAGCGAGCGAGGGAGAGAGAGAGAGAGAGAAGAGAGATCTTTGTTTCATCGCCGAAGCAAGGGAGACATCGCCGAAAATCGCCAGACAGCTTCATCAAAGAGACAAAAATGAGAGTTTTTTTTTATTTATATACATGGTACACTTGTAATTACTTGAAATTGTGAGGGGCATTTAAGTCATTTTGCCTCTCCATGATGACCTGCGCGCATAAGCTAAATTGATAAGCACCCTTGGAGCAACTTTGAGATTTAAGCCGAAAATAGCTTAAATTAAGCTATAATATGTGCCTTATAGATTGTACCAAACACACCAATATAACTTAATTGAAGCCAAAAACTAATTTAAATTAAAAAAAAAAATTTACCAAACAGGCACATTAAGGGCAAATGGCATTGACCATCCCTGAAATTGGGAAAATTATCATAAGTGGGTGTTTGGGTTGGCATTTTTAGTTGTTTTTTTGTCCGTTTCTTTCGTCTATAATGAACTTTTTGTTAAAAACTTCAAAAACTCTACATTTTTTTGATTTTACTTGATTAAACGGACCGGAAAAATAAAATTAAAAATTAAAAAAAAAAGGTTGGAAAAGACCAAAAAATGCAAAAAGTAGTTGCCTTTTTTAAAAATTTTATTTTTTTAAGATACGTCTACACAAATTAGACTTGAAGAGTATATGTCTTTGACATAATTTTAAAAAATATATATATCACTAAAGACAAAAAAAAATTAAAATATAATTTTTTTAACTGTATTCCACAATTTTGCATAATTATATCAACTTCTCTTGAAGACTAAGTATTAGCAAACAAAACAAATGCAAATGGTTTCTGAACATAGAAATAATTAAAAATAATATATACATTGAGGCCTATTTTGGCAAGTAAGTTAAAATAGTTTAAAAATAAAAAAGCTACTACTAAAAAATCAACTCCCCTCTTTACTTTGTACGACTTTTTGTAAAAAAATAAAAAATTCAATTAAAATTACTACGTCTCAAAATAATCTTAGGTTGCGTTTGGTTCATGGAGTTGGAAAAAGATTTGAAAAGAAAAAGAGAAAAAACAGGTGAAATGTGAATAAAATATAATTATATTTCATTTACGTACAGCTTATCTTTTTTCTTTCTCATTCTTTCCCTTTCCAAATCACTATTCATATTCATGAAACAAACACAGCCTAGTGTTAGAAATATGATAATATCATATTTTCATTCGTATTACTAACGAAAAACTGATGAAAATAAAGTTTTATGTTATATGAATTAAAATTTTGAAAAGGAGCATAGTTTAATTATATTAAATGTATAAGACTTAGTGTATTTTTTTCTAAACCTTAAATATATTATTGTAATTTATGTAATATATGATTATCCAAAGAGCCAAACAGAGAGTACATTTGGAGAACAGACAAAGAAAAGAGGAATTGAAGATGCCCCAATATAGAATTGATATAAATATATCCAAATGTTAAGCCAAACAGATAGTTGATTTGTAGAAGTGATAAAGAGTAAAGACGAATTGGAGATCAACTTTGCCTATATGAATTATTTTGTGATATTTTTATAAGTTGAAAGTTAATAATTAAAGGGTCCTGTTAACGAGTGTCTTTAGGACACAAGTAAAAAAAGAAAAAAAATTGAAGAACACAAAACACTTTTCACTAAATTCAATGTATTTTTACTGAAATAAATACACTTTTTAATAGTTTTACATATTTTTAAGACACTTTATACATACTTCTCAACATTAAACAATGCATAGGGGGCACTTGCTAGCATTGCCATAATTAAAAGGTAAAATTTTAAATTATTCCTACTTTAATTATTTGATAATTAGTTGTTTTTTAATTTTTTTTTATTTTAATTAGTTGCAAACAAATAAAAAATCTTAACAAATCGCATTAAGGATTGGTTCAGAAATTACGATTTTTTAATTATTTTTTACTTTTTTAAGATAAAATCATTTCTATAAAAACCCATAAATACTAAAAACAAAATACTTTTTGATAGTGGAAAAGTTTAGCAAATCCTACTAAAATATAGCTTTTTTGTCAAATTTTATTTATTTTTTAGCAGAAAACAATTTAAAATTTTTGACTTAATTCGCCAAAAAATACATTAAATAAAAATAAAATAAAATAAAAATAGCAACAACAACAACAACAACAAAAACAAAAAATCAAACACAACCTAGAGCTAGATATATGACTTTGAAATTTATTCAAAAGATATGTAATCCAAGTTTAATTTTATATGATAAAACTTACATTTATAATCCACATTACTTTTTCAGATAAATTTCAGGCTATCTTTTCTTGGCATATATTTAGGTTTCATTTGGCAAGTGAGTTCGAACTAATTTAACTTACTAAAAAATAAAATAAGTTAAAAAATTAATAAGACAAAATATTATGTTTAAATTATAATCATTTTTTTGTTCACAAAATTATAAAAAAGTCAAAAATATTTTATAAACGAAACTTTTTAACAAGTTAAAATTGTAAAAAAATAAATAAATAAATAAAAAATCAAGCTAAAAAAATTCTTTCCAAATGAAAGCTTGTTGACGTGGATGTCTTACCTACATGGTTAACGGTGCTGCCGGCTGTATAATCATTTTCCTAACCAAAAAGGGCTGAAATGAGCATCATTGAGCCTGATTGGTACAATTTTTTAAAAATTAAAAGTTTGATAATCAAAAATTAAAAACATCCTTTTTAAGAGTTTCTGATAATCACTTTTTTCATATTATTTAAAATACTTCTACTTCATAAGTTAGAAGCATAAACTACAACAAACACACTAACACATTCCCAAAAAAAATAAATAAATAAATAAAAGTTTTAAGCAATAGGCATATCTAGGAACCATTTTTAGGAACCTTATGGGGTTGGCCTAGTAGGTGTAATGTAAGACTTCAAGTTGTGTTTTCTTCATGACTCATATTCAACTCTAACAAGATGCTATCAATTCCTTTAGATCACGTCTACGAACTCTATTTAAGATTTGCCCAATACCATAACCCAAACACCCGGTCATAAATAAAATAAAATAAAAAAGAACCATTTTTAGGAGAAAACGTGGAGTTTGCCTAAAAGATTGTCATAACCTAAGAGCATCTAGTCAAAAAGCACAATAAACAAGGATATTTTCATAATCAAATTCCAATAGATAAAAATATCACTTGACTAAACAATGATTATACCATAATCACATCAGCTAAATAAAAAAATTTCACACTAAAAGAAAGATACAGTATGAAATAAAACTATAACTATGCAAACTGAAAAAGTAGTTACCTGTTTGTATGAAAGGAGATTCATACCAAGAAATAGCATCATGCACTTTTTTCCCATCATGCCGTGTGAATGGGAGGAGATTCATACCGTACATTTTCATAATGTAATGTATAGGGCATCAAAATCATGACCTAATTTTGTTTCACAAAACGGATATCCTCCTTTTTCACAATATACTGTAACAAATGCCACCATAATTCTTAAAAAAAAAAAAATCACTTTTACAGACACAGAGAGAGAGAGAGAGAGAGAGAGAGAGAGATCATAAACCAGATTGCTTTGTCCAGCGAGAAACAAACATTGGTGATGGCTCAAATTTGTGGATTCCATATAATTTTCTTAAGCAAATAACAGAGACAAGTGAAGACTTCGAAAACAAAAAAGTGTTCCAAAACCAATCACAGAAGTACTTCAACACCCACATAAGTTGTTTACAATATCAGATTGACTAAACATCTGTTGTTTGAAACGACTGTTCAACCTCAGTTATGGTGCTTCGAGCTTCATCAATTTCTGGGCCTTCTTTCTGGTTTGACTCCTCCAACTCAGCCTGAAATCAAATACGTAGCTTAGTTGAGTAAATGCCACAAAACTGAATTTTCTCTATATTCTTTACAACTGTGTGTCCATAAATTGGAATGGAGGGAACAACAGTCAATATAACAATCCAATTTAGCTTATATCACCATACTTTATGTCTAAGTCTAATACCTCGACAAACAAATAAATAAGAGGTGCAAGGGCAGCGACTGAGAAAAAAATTATTCCAGTCTTTTGCATTGAGAACAAGGTTGTTTTGGTTGTTAGCATTGGGAGTGAAGCACTTTTTGTGCCAGACTTATTTCCTTATTGAAGCACAGCACTTATCGAGCATTCATTGTTGTTCAGAAGATAGAATGCAAAAGCCACCACTATTCAACCAATGATCCCTATTTTGTTCCTTGCCCAAAAAAATTAAAATAAAATGAGAGAGAGAGAGAGAGATGTTAATGTTTCATTTTTATTTCAGTAATTTTAGAATTACTGAACTTTTTTTTTATTTTTTTTATTTTATCGGAATTTTTTTTTTTTTTTTCTTATCGGAATTACTGAACTTTGATAATCTAGCATGAAGTCTAGGCCAACCCTCCCACGCTATACCTTAAAGCATGATAAGCAAGACTGGAAATTCCATTATGACAACAGCATCTTTTTTGCTGCAGGATGGCCCCAGACCAACCTCAACCCTCGTGGGACATCCCCTCCAGGAACCATGAAATAAATTAATAAATTAACCCAGATCAAGGTTCAAGGAAGCAGCAAAAGCAGAATATTTCAGTACTTGTGAGGAAATAAGTATTTCTGAGAGAAAATGAACAGTTTAAGATGAATCTTCGCAAGGAACATTAAGCAGATCTAATCCAACATAGAATTCTTGGGTTTTAGAAACTGAAGTTTCCCATCCCTGTAGTTCTCCCACTCCCAAAACCATGGAGGTAGCATGCTGTTTTGATTATTCTTCAATAGCAAATTCCAATGCACCCGATTGCAAAATCAACAAAAATAAAAGCAGATAATCAATTTTGATGTTTCTTTTTTGGTCAATATAAGAACTTCATTAAATCAGCTGTAATATTAAGCACTAGTACAATCCATTAAGAGAAATACAATACCAAGGTTCCCTTTAGGTCAGCCAATGCAGCCTCCAGGCGCTTGTGACAATCAGGAATCATCATCCTGGATTCAGCCAGCACATTTTCCTGCCCAAATAGATACAAGAAAAAGGTTTTCATTAGAGGGAAAACAAAAAAAAAAAAAAAAAAAAAAAAAAAAAAAGGAATGTCAAGATAAATCTCATTGCTCAAATCAATGTGAATTTCTTCATCTAAATTGTTTCAAGGTGTCTGTTCCAACCAATCCATCTTAATTAGTTATGTACAGCACCATAATGTGTTAATTTGTGAGTAGTGACTACTAGTACCCCAATTGAAAAGACATGTCATTTGATAAAACCGTACATTTGAATGAGTAACTTCATTCGGATAACAGAGACTTCCAAGAAAGAAAGTAAAAAAGGAAAAAGAAAAAGAAACAAAAGGTTGAATCAAGGCTGAGCTCTGCAGCAGTCACCCTCAGAGATTCAAAATTATAAATTGGCTATCAAGGAGAGTTTCAGCAACATGTCACCTTTGGTCACAAGCTTTGGGTTAGCTATGACTGAGAGATTTATTGACCAAAAAAATAATCACCAAGGAAATACAAAGATTATTTTTTTAACACATTCTTGCACATATGAAGGTAGTTTAAACTATTTTTCTGTAAACTGCAAGATGGGCAAAACAAATTTCATTTACATTTTTTCACCCAAAATATTAAGCTATGTTTGTGAAGAGCAGGGCCAGCTCCAAGACAAAGCCAATGAAGCAATGACTCTAGGCCTCATTTTGGAAGAGACCCCAAACACTGCTTGTCCCCCCCAAAAAAAATCCTTATCAAAAGACCCAACCAAAAAATACCCTACAGCATGTTTGTTTGGTGGAATTGAAGGGTGGGATTGGACTAATAGTCCATTTGGACTAATAATCCGTTGTTTGTTTCAAATTTTTTGCACCGGACTATTAATCCTAAATTTGTTGGACTATTGTATCCCATTGGGGGGGCGGGGACACAAATCATGGGATAACTCATCCCACGGGATTAGGTTGCCAAATTACATTGTTGACCCTCTAGTATTAAATATCTTTTTCCTCATGGTATTAATTATACTTAATAAAGTAGTCTCAATTTAAAAATAAAATAATTTCATTTAATTTTTATTGATGTTTTATTTATTTAATTTTTTAAAATAATTTTTTATAGATATTTTATTGATGTTTTATTTTAAAATTTTGTTGATATTTTATTTAATTTCATTATTTAAATTTTAATAGATGTTTTATTTAATTTCATTATTTAATTATTATTATTTTTTAAATTAAATTTATTTAAAATTTTAATTAAAAAATAGCATATATTTTTATTGATATTTTATTTAATTAATTTATTTAATTTTTATTTAATCTAGCTAAAAATAATTCAAATATTAAAGATATGTTTAATATTACTATTACTTAGTAAATAATTGAAAACGGTAAAATAGTCATTTGAGCATTTATCATTCTCCATAATATCCCAAACAAACATAGAATTTATATCCTATCTAACCAAATAGTCCTTTCTAGACATCTAATTCCATGACTAAACAAACATGGGATACACATCCTATCCAACCAAATAGTCCCACGACTATGAATCTCAAGATTACAATCTCCCCTTATCCAATCCGTCTAAACAAACATGTTGTTACTTATCCAAAGGTCTAGAAAAAATCTATACAATACTCAGACAAAAATATCTAATCATAAAGCCACCAATTAAGAAGATTCAAAGAATCCTCTTTGTCCAAAGGCCAAACCACAAAAAAAAAAAAAAAAAAAAAAACAAAAACAAAAACAAAAACAAAAACAAAACAAAACAAAAACCTCGATGTGCAAAGACTCCCAATTAGAAAGACTGATAAAAATTAAAAAACCACTAAATTTACAAGTACACTTTCTTACAATTATGGGTAAATAAATTATGCCCACTGGTCAACCATTCTCTGTGATCTTTCAATTGCTTGGAATGGACTTTTATCGATAAGTAATTGATTGCAATTAACATTGACAAGAGAAGAATTCAATTTTTGATTGGGCAAAAACTTCATGTTTCACTGTTTTCAGGAGAAAGTGGAAACTAATCCAAGAGATCGTGACCATTCATTAAGATTAAAAATTTGGTTCATATGTTCAAAACAAATTGCGAGGGACTTCAACTTGGCTTATCTTTAGTTTAGACACCAATCAAAAGGAGTAATATTATGATTTGCCTCATGAAATAATCTCTTAAAACAAAGGCACAAGTAAAATAGGATACAAAGCAGATAAGGCAATACACTCAAAATATGCATATTTAAACAACCATTTTAATCCCAGTAATTGAGGAATAAAACTTCAAACAAAATCAACTAGGCAACAAACACACTCAAGCATGTGATGAATTAATTTCACTTTCACTACTACAGATCATATACTTTTCAGATAACCTGTTTAGAAAAGCAATGTGATCAATCAATTTCGTAGCAAACCATGAGAAAGTTCTCAATGCAATGCAAAGAAGCTCGGCAAAACTATACAACTCACAAGTCAACTACTATTGTACCAAGAATGAGTGATGAAATTGCATACACCTCCGGAAACACAAGAAAATAATGTAATATGGATGTATGATAGAATCCAAAATTGAAGATTAGGTAGAATAGTGTGACATAGAAATCTTGGTATACCAGAAAACTAAGACTATTTTCAGAACAACAATGCTAAAAAAAATACAGAAATGATTTTGTTCTAAATGCCATGCAAAACATAGAAAGTTCCATGCTTTGCTCAAAATAACATGCCAAGGTATGCGACCACAAGTTTAGAACTCATTAATATTTAACATGTTGCCAAATTTTTTATGCAAATCTAAAGAAAAATAGAAGCCCAAATACCTGCTGCTTAAGGTCATAAGGATCAGCTCCTTTCTCCTTCATATCAGCAGTCTTTGCAGCTTCTCTCTCAACCTCTTTCTCATAGGAATGCATCTCCTTAACGATACGTTTGCAAGTAGACATCTTGATTTTCAGATTTCTAAGAGTTGCCATGTTAAGCCTGTTAAAGGAGACATTACCCTGTGAAAAAACCTTTTTTCACACAAACAAAACCAGGTGATGAAAAAAAGCATCACAAGTTCACAAATCTGAAACTGTGTGCCTCATCTCATCCAATCTTTGAGGCACCGAACAAAGTAGCAGCCCGAGGTTTTCTGAAGCTTCAGGCTAAACATCTAAATGAGGTCTTATCTTTGGAAAATTTGGACCTTCATTAATAAGAGACTTTTATATACATATTTTTTAGGTGGGTCTTGAGCGAAAGGGTAAATGGCTTAATGTTGAGCCACCTCTGCATTGAATCAGTAGAATCATATGTTTTCCACCAAAACATAAAACAAAAAGATATATTCCCAAATCAAAATAGAGAAGATACAATGCTTAAGTGTATATATCCAACCATAACAAACTACTCAAGATGCAGAAAGCAATAAAAGTTCCCGTAACAAAGATTCACACAAACTGCTAGTATTTTGCAGACTTTGTTCAATAATTTGTCAAATTAATAAGCACTGAAGTGAATTTGCCATATTTATCAAATGGTTCAACAAACCCTTTACTGGGTGTGACATTAATTTCTCTCTCAAACACTAACTATAGCTTGAGAACGAAAAAGATGGTAGGATTATCAGCTAGAAGCTCGAAGAAAATGCCATTTTTGATAATGTATAGCGGTAAATGCAAAACCCATCGCTGCATTAGCTCAATATTCAATCAACTCCCAAAGAGGGGACTAGGGTTTTGTATCCAGTGGAATTTGGAGATTGTAAATGGCTACAACTCTGTGTGTGTGTGTGTGTGTGTGAGAGAGAGAGAGAGAGATTACCTCGAAAAATTGGATCTGCAATTGCAATCGAAGTAACGTTACCCGCAGGGTTCAATCCTCTCTGCTTTCTCTAAACAATTTCTTATGGTTCACACCATCTCCACTGGGTTATTAATTTTTTTATGAAATTTAAGTTTGATGAAAAATTATTGCTTAGGTTTGGTTTTAGTTTTTTGAATTTAATTTTTAAAAAATTTAGAATTTTTTTTTTTTACTTTTTTATTTTTAGTGAATATTTTAAAAAATTTAAGTAATTTTTTTTATTTTTTTAAATAGTAAAATATTTGTGAAAAAATATTTTAAAAAATTAATAAATACACAAAAATATGAAAAATGTACTGAATTTTAGTAATTTTTTAATATTTTTTATTTTTAGTGAATTTTTTTAAAAAAATTCACAAATATTATACTTTTGAAGTGTATTTATGTTAGATGTGTCTAAAAATTAAAAAAAAAAATTACTTAAAATGTTAAAGAAAATTCATTGAAAACAAAAGAAATACGAAAAATAAAAAAATAATTTTTTTTGAAAAGTGTGTTTTTGGAAATCAAAACCAAACATGCTGATTTTTTTTTTTTTTTTCTATTCAAATGGTTTCATTAAATGAGTATTAAATTAAGAATATCAAAAATCTTTCACTAAATTGAGGATGTTTGAGACTTTTCATCATTTTCAATGTTTATAGACGTTGAATTTTCAATCCCAGATGCCCCCCAAATGACCATCTCTTTGCAAAATTTTGTGAAAAAATTACATTGGCCAATCGAACATCCGCCCGGTCGTCCACGTTAGTTGACTAGTGTTTTAATGAAAATTCAAAATCTTCCATTAAAATATTGATATCAAATACAATTTTTGCTCAAGTTAAAGTTTAAAATAAAATTTAAAAAAAAAATTAAAAAAAAAAAGAAAAAAAGATGCACAGATAGAGATGCAATTATGCAGTTGCTTTAGGTCATTTTTAACTCCCATTTTATTGAAAAAATTACAAAAAATATGGTGGAGTTTGGTTTATTTTTAAAACTTAACTCAGTTTTTAAATCATAATTTAGATACAACATGTTAACCAAACATATTTTTAAAATACAATTTAAAATTACTTTCAAAACTCATTTTCTTTTTTTTTAATTGTTATTAATTAATCAATCAATCACATTTTTTCTCTCATCTTCTCTTCTCACATTCTCTCACATTTTATACATCAATCAATCAAAAAAATTTTAAAAATTACAAATCATTCCAAAATTATTTTCAAAACTCATAACCAAACAAATTTTCTATTTTCAAATCATTATTCAAAAACTTAAAACACAACTCTACACTTAAATTATAATTCTAAAACTAAACCAAACAGACAGTATAAATCTCAAAGTTTCACTATTATAATAAAATAAATTTTTAATTTTAATTTAAACTTTAATCTTTTAATTTATTTTCAATTTAAATTATTAACTTGTTTCTATTAGATAAAAAAGATGAAAAAACAATATTTTAGTTATTAAATTTAATGTAGGTATATATAAAATGTTTAAAATACATTTTTTATTAAATTTAATAATTAAAATATTTTTCTGTCCATTTTTGTTAATAAAAAATAGACATATGATTTAAATTAAAAAATAAGAATTTAAATTAACAAAATTAAAATTTAAGTTTTATTTTGTTAGAATAGTCAAACCCTAATTTTTTTTTCTTTTTTTTTTTTTGTAAATACCCCAATTTTATTTGATATACGTTATGTTAATGGGAAATTCAATGATATATACCCCATAATGGGAAGTTCCATGATATACATCCCCATGTGTCCCATAATCATATGTCATTTGTGATATCTCATTACCACAAAACATAACTTCCACAACCCTCAAAATGATTTGAACCATTTATGTCACTGTCAGACACAATTTTTAAAAAAAATTCAAACACATTAATGACCAATACATCAGTAGGGGTCATGGGGGTCCTCTTTTGTGAGTTCGGATCCTCTCCAGCCAAAGACTCCCTCCGGTTCTCCGGTCAAGGGCCACGATTTGGCCACGTGGCTTAATGAAGATCTACGGCTTAGATAAAATTAAAAAAAATAAAAAAAAATTGAATTTCGTTCATTTCAACCCAGCACAAAGCTTCCCTCCCATTCACGAGTCCATTTTCCCTCCTTCTTCCAAGCTCTGGCGATTGGCGAAGTCGACGGCGAACATCGAGGACGATCGGCGGCGAACATCGACAGTGAACCAAGCTCCGGTGACCCCGCGAACCAGAGCTGCACTTCGTCGTCAAACTGAAGGTAATATTTGTTTTCCTTAATTTTTCCCCATATAAGTTTTCCTTACCAGGAACAAAAGATTCAGTGCACAAGTTTGTCATGGCTGGGGAACATTGTTATTGTTTACAACTACATTGATTTTTCTAACTAGTGAGCAATACATAGATGTTTTATTTGTTGTATTCCATGACCAATTTAAATTGTAAAAAGTGTTGGTGGTTGAAACTATGTATAGATATAGCAATACATTTACGACATATACTTAATACTTATAATTTGCTTTTTAGCTATAACTGAGTGTCTCAAAAATTATTTAGTATCACACACACACACACACACACACACACACACATATATATATATATATATATATATATCTTTATCTTTGTTACGAGATGAGAATCTGGGACAACATATTGACTAGAATTTCTCAATCGAACACACTGGATTAAGATTCTTTTTCTCTAGCAAATGGCATTGATAAAATGGAAATAGTAAGCTTTTATTAGTTTCTATATTTGTCAGAATTTTCCAGTTCAGGTTCTATATTAGCTTCTATAAATATAGAGCTCAAATATTTTATCTTGCCATGTTCAAACCTGTACTAATTTTTTCAACTTGAAACAATTGACAAGTACACATATTCTTTCTTAAAGCATATACATGATATTTAGAAAACAAGAGGAAACAGAACATTTTTACCCAAAAAAAAAAAATTAATCACTTTATTATTGTGTATTGATACTTCTCCCATTTGATTGCCTCTACTTTTCAGTTGCGTTTTTATATAGATATGGAACCTGACAATGATTGTGGTTGGAAGCCAAAAGAAGGAATGACCTTTGATTCGGAAGAATGTGCGTACGATTTTTATAATGCATATGGAGGAAGAATGAGATTTAGCATAAGAAGGGAATATTGTAAGAAGAACAAGTTAACAAAACAAATTATTTCTAGAAATTTGGTTTGCAACAAAGAGGGATTTCGGAAGGTTGACAAGCGAGACCCATTGACAAAAACCCCTAGAGCTGAAACTAGGACTGGTTGTGACGCCCGACTTTTTGTTAAATTGGATGTCAATAGTGGGAAATTTGTTGTGATTGATTTCAAAGAAAAACACAACCATGAACTTGTATCTCTTGATTGTGCCCATACGTTGCCATCGCAAAGAAAGATATCAGATACCCAAGCAATTGAGTTAGACTTAGCCTCAGAGTCTGGTCTTCGTTTATGGCAGTTTTTTGAGCTAATGGGTAGGGAAGCTGGAGGGAGGCAGTCTCTTGATTTTATGAAATTAGATCAAAAAAATTACTTGAGAACCAAAAGACAAAAAAGTTTAGCGTATGGGGAAGTAGGTAATGTGTTGCAATACTTTCAACAAAAATCTTTGGAGAATCCATCTTTTTTTTATGCTTTCCAATTAGACAATGAGGAGCAAATAACGAATATGTTTTGGGCCAATGCACAAATGGTCATGGATTATGCCCAATTTGGCGATGTAGTTATATTTGATACTACCTACAAGTTAAATAAAGAGCATAGGCCATTTGCATCTTTTGTGGGATTTAATCATCATAGAGAAACAGTTGTTTTTGGTGCTGCGTTGTTATATGATGAGACTGCCGAAACATTCAACGTACATTACAAGTCGTGAAGAATCCTTATTCACAAGCAGGTCACAAGCCATTACATTCAACTCTTAAGCAAATAAATCATTGCCACTTCATCAAACAAAAAAAGCCATTACATTCATTACCACTTGAACAAAATGGTAGTGGTCCACCATACATTACATACACATTCAATGTACATTACAAGTCATAGTCATACTACCTTACATTACATACACATTCAACCTACAATACAAGTCATACTCATACTACCTTACATTACATACACTATTTCAAATACACTAGAATCACAACTACCACCAACAACAAAACAAAAAAAGCAAAGTCGTAATTCAATTTTTCACTAACTCTTTCAACCACCATTGTCAAGTCTCTATATTGTTTCCTACTCTTCATAGTCATGTCTTTGAGCTCTCCATTCACGATAATTACTTCTCTAAGAGTAGACAAGACTTCCATGCGTTCTTTAAGAATATCATTATCGACCACCTTCAAATTATGCTGCATATGTGGAGGGATCCACCACTGAAAGAAGTTACAACCATTCGGATAATTGGGGCATACAAAATAAAGGCAATTTGGATTATCCGTTGACTAAGAAATCTTAATCATAGCTTTTTTGCCACATCGACAATTGCGGTTTTCGAATTTGACTTCATGCATGTTGTCCATACTTGCATTTGTGCTTGATATGGACATTAACCTACAAAAAATTATCAAAAGGATAAATGTTTTAGGTCATGAACTCTTATCAAAAGGATACTATTCTTTTTTAGTTAAAGTATAAATGTTCTAATGTAAGGTGAATAGCTTCTAGTCTCTCCTGTTTACAAAATGAAATCATCATTTGTAAAAGGTTAAAAACAATGTATATATCATATTCTCAACTATTGTAATAGTTTCATTGGACTAAGAAGTTGGTATATAATACTAGATAGTCATCTCTCCTAATCTAATACTAGAAGTTGGTATATAATATATCTCTCCTAATCTAATACTAGATAGTCATCAAGTGTCTCCTTAATGTTCTTCAATAAAAAACAATGTCTTGGTGAGCCTGGAATATGATATGGAGGCATGTCCTTAACTTGTTCACTCATCATAATCAAGATGTAAATAATTAGTTTAGGAAACAAAATTAAACATATATTCTCTGTAACAATGAAACAAGAATAGCAAATGGTTGAAACTATGCCCAAAGTAGGAAACATGAAGGCTACTTTGGAAACTAAAAAAACATTTTATAATTATTGATAAAATGCACAAATATATGAAGAACTATGCTTATGTAAGGAATTAAGAGAGAAGAAATAGTCCCAAAGTCCACTAAAAAGCACATTTGGGGCAAAATTTAGTCAATAGGAACAAAGTAAGAGAACTAGATAGATAACAGAGCATCCAATAGAAACAACCAAAAAACTGTTAGTTTTTAAGCACAGTTTTCACACCATCAAGCAAATCAAATACTCTTAGTTTTGAAGAGAGAATGAAACAAACTATTTAAGATGAGAATGAAACAAACTATTCTTTTTTACTTAAATTACTCTCTTGTTTTAATTCATTTATCATTTCATAAAAAAATTGCTACATGATCTTTAATACACAGTTCAATGGGAACATAATCCTCCAAGTCAAATATGCATTGCCATCTCCTTCACTAATTTGAAGATCAAATAAATCAACAATTATAAGGCAGTCCAAACAACTAAGAACTGGCCAATCCACAATCAAAGCAGACATTTAACCTAAAATGGTGGTCGAAGGACGGGAGATTTTTTATGGTGCTTCAGATTTTTTCAATCTAAACAGACATTTAACTAAAATGGTGCTTCAAATTTTTTCAATTTCACTAAACATTTCAACCTAAAATGGTGGTCTCTCCATCTCAGATTTCCTTCATCTCTGGTGCTTCAGATTTTTTCAATCTAAACAGACATCAACAAATTTTTGAGGTCATGGTGCTTCAGATTTTTTCAATCTAAACAGACATCAACAATTTTTTTTTTTACATTTAACTATGGTTCGCAGCTCCAGTCGCGGCTCAAATCGCAGTCCAAATGTTCGGAGTAAGATAGAGGGAGAGAGGGAGAGCCCACCGATGTTCGCCGCCGACTTCGATTCGCCGTCATCGGTCACAACATGCCGTCGCCGTTCACCGAAGCTGAAGAAATTCAAAATTTTTTTGTGGCTGTGTGGCTGTGTTGAGGGAAGCTTTGTGCTGGGTCGAAATGAACGAATTGAATTTTTTTTTTTTTTTTTATCTGAGCCGTAGATCTTCATTAAGCCACGTGGCCAAATCGTGGCCCTTGACCGGAGGACTGGAGGGAGTCTTTGGTTGGAGAGGATCCGGACTCCTCTTTTGTGGGGGTTCCAAACATTTTCCATTTCATTATGACTTATTGAAGCATTAATTATAATTTGATTATAACTTGTATTACACATTTGGTGTTAATTATAATTCATTGTGATGTTAGTTATGAAATTATTTTAATTATGATTAAAAAACTCTTTGGCTATACATTATGTGGTGTTTAGTTATAATTTCATTCTTTTTTATAGTTATGACTCACATGCGATTGAGACCTCGTTTGTTAATAGTTTAAATAGTAAAAAAAAAATCAAAAAGTCACTATAAATTGTCACATAATTCTTTTTACTTTTTTGCACATTTTTCATAAAAAGTAAAAAAATTAACTAAAATAATTCACAAACGAGTCTTGAGTCGTGACATTTGTAAAGTTTGATATTAATATGATCTCATATAAATTACAACATAATTTTTTGGAAAAATTATATTTTAATGGAACAGTGGTAAAAAATTACATTTTTATGATGGTACAACTCCTGTGTGTACATGGTGTAAATTCATTCATGCACTTGCCGAATAAATAAGTTATCATTGCCGAATAAATAAATTATCATTGACTGTGCTCGTCATATGGCCGAATACAAGTCGGCCATGTGGGGTCAAGCAAATGGAGAAGCCGAGTACGAACAAGGTATGAATGCCGTATGAGCTGACTATACCCTTTCATATACGGAAGGCCTAGGAACAGGATCAAAGCCCAGGAAGCAATGGGCCCATCGATGGCCCCTGGAGGAATCATTATAAAAGGAAGAGCCATGCTCAAGTAAAAGGGAATGCGAAAAAAGTAATAGAGAGAGAGAGGATTAAGAAGTTCTGTTTGGACGAAAGAGTATTTCTAAATTCATTTCACCACAACTGGCGCCGTCTGTGAGAATACTCAAGCATGTTCATGACAGACATTACCGACGATCCTCTGTTCATAGCTGATGATGTTATACCAAATGTTGCACTAAGAACTATGCTTGGTCCGGAGAATATCACTGCTCGAAGAGCCTTGAATTTTGACCTAGTCGTTCAATCTTCACCCTCAACCTCCATGTAGGAAACCATGCAGACAATCATGGATCAAGCAAAACGAAACGAGCAGCGTCTGGAAGAGATGAAAGCTAACAATGAGCGCTTACGTAAAGAGCTGGCTCTGGAGTTAGCCAAATCCCAACAAACCGCACCACATCACTAGCAAGGTCGGTCGCCTGAATAGCAAAAGGGAACTCAACGACATCGGCAATGAAAACATGATAGCAGCAGCTCTTTCATCAGCTTAGGAACTTATTAAAAAGGGACGTATTGGCGTGTCCAGCTCATCTGAGAAAAGTCCATACGTGCGGCATAGACAAGGAAAGGAAGATAGGTCAGATGGAGAAGACAGACATGACCCTTTCGTACGACAAATTGCCAAGCCCGTCCTGCCGAAAAAATTTAAAGCCTCGACATTTACGTTGTATGATGGTAAATCTGACCCGACAGACCACATTCGCCATTACAAACAGGCAATGACGTTGCATGTTGATGATGAAGCGCTTATGTATCGCATGTTTCCAAGCAGCTTAGGTTCATTGGCAGTTTGGTGGTATTACAAACTTGAACTAGCCTCGGTCAAAAGTTTTCACCGGCTCTAAAAATCTTTTCAAGCAAGATTTATCACCAACGAGGTCCAGCCTAAGCAAGCCGACTCACTTTGGGCAATGCAAATTAAGCCAGAAGAAACCCTCCGTGAATATTCGGCGCGCTATTGGGAATGTTTCAATTTGGTTGACGATACCTGTAACGACTCCATGGCCACTACTGCCTTCAAGATGGGCTTGCACCCTGACAGTCTGCTTCAGAGCTCGTTAACTAGACGACCTCCAAAAACAGTGTGGGCTTTAATGAAGAAGGTTGTGGAGTATTGCAAAGTCGAAGATGATGCCCTTCGCGTCAAAGCCGGACAGAAAGTCGTAGAGACAGCTGCGCCTATCTTGGTACAGCCGATAAGCGTAGCCCCACCAAAAAGGAGCCCTGAGCATCAAGGCAGGTCAAAACAAGAAAGTCATCGCGAGCCGCACTGATTAAGCGAGCAATATCAAATAGACAGCAAATGCCCCAGGCGGTTCAAGAAGAAATATAACAAGTTGACCGAGCCGATTAGCAAGATACTTCCCAAAGTCCAGCATCAGCCCTTCTTTAAATGACCGGCCAAGATGATTGAACCCTCTGACATAAGATGCAGGGATTGACGATGTGAATACCACAAGGACCATGGGCATGAAATCGACAGATACTATGCCTTGAAGGACCATCTTGAGGAGTTGATGCAGAATGGTCGACTTCTCCAATACCTCCCCCACAAGAATACTCAACCTAATGCGGTGGCTCTACGCCCGGACTCACCTCCGATGGGCACCATGCATATGATATACTGTTTTCTGACGCCGAACGGCATCGATATGATCCAGTCACAAATATCTCAACCATGCCCATCCAAGTCATCCACACTAGCCAAACGACCCCATCAGACCAACAAGATTAGCTTCGATGACGCAGATCTGGAGGGGCTGATCCTTTCTCACAACGATGCTCTTGTTATCGAATTGCAAATAAACAAATTCTATGTCGAACGCATTTTAGTTGACTAGGGAAGCACATCGGAGATAATGTACTACAAGACATTTCTGA